CATGGGAACTCAATTTATATACACACAGAGACAAACAGTCTCTCAAAGCTTGATCTGTTTCTTGTTGCTATGTGTTTAATACAGTAGATGCAATAAGCCAAGCAGGGAAGGGAAATAAGCCAAACTGCTCAGTGTGGGTGTGGGATGAGCCTTCCCTTTAATTACGACCTCTGATGACAGGAGTCAATTTAAAATATTTTAATAGTATGACACGACACAGCCATTGTTACATTTTGTGAGATTGGTAAAGAGGCCCAAGTTTTCTTAGGACTGCAAAGAGTTAGATTTATGAACTCTGAGCTGTCAGACTTGAAATGTAGGTGAGACCAGGTAAGCTGCCCATCTCAGAGTGAATCCCAGCAGATCTGTGGTGAGTGAGGGGATAAGCCTTGGCTTGAAACACTTTGCACAGTGCCAGTACTTTCTGCTGGGATGCTTTCCTTGTGGGAAGACACAGGAATTGCTTTACCGAGTGTAGTCTTGTCCCATGTGGAGAAATGCTGGAGACGGTACCTTTCATCACAGTGAATCCATTACACCGTATACAGATGTCCGTGTCTTAGTCTGATGCTTGGTTTATAGGTATTACTGTGGGGTAGCTTCTTAGGCATGGAACACTCTATAGAAAGAGCAAAGAGCTTTTATGATGTATAAAGAAGAGATAGGTTTGGTTTTATATGAGGAGAATCTATTCATAGAAATACACCCATTCTTTAAAATGCTTCGGGACTGACATTAAGGTATTTGGGGATTAGGAAGAAAGATCCTGTTGCTTTGATAGTTTTTAAAAGAGTCTTTTAAAACTATTATTTATTTTAAAATAATTTTTATATTTAAAGATATTTTTAATTAAAATATATTACATCACTTTCCCTGTTTCCTTTGCTAGTTCTTATATCCCTCCCTCCAACCAGTCTCATATTCTGTACCCAAATTCTCTCAAATTGGTGAGGTTTTTTCTTTTGTTATTGTTTTATGCACACATAGACACAGACACAAAGACAGACAGACACACACATACACATGCATGCAAGCAAGCATGTATTCATGTACAAATATGTAACTATAACCTTCTGGATCCATGTTTGTGATTTATGAATATGATTTTAGGGCTGACCTTTTGTACTAGATAAGCAGCTAGGAAACACATCCTTGGGAAAGGTTAATTCTCCCCCATTAGTCATTAGTTACCTGCTGTTCTTTGTTAAGGGTTGGACCCCCATGAAATCCCCACCCCTCTTTGCCTTAGCATGTGTATTGATATTGCTATTGTTCAGGTCGGTTAGGAAGCCATTTCTAGGAGACACAGTCTCACAGCAGACTTCCTGGTCCTCTGGCTCTTACCACCTTTCTGTCCCCTCCTTTGAGATGTTCTCTGACCCTTAGATGCAAGAGCTGTGTCATAGATCTATCTGTTGGGGCTGGGTTCTCCACAGTCACTGGAAATGGTTCTCCTTGGAGTTCTTGAATTTATAAATACAGAGGTGTTAGACACCTGTGGCAGTTTTCTAGGATAGCTATCGTGGTAGTGGAGCTTTTAAGAAGAATAATCTGGAGAGAGTTTCTGAGGCGAGTGGACTTGATACAGCAATGGCACTCTGCCTCTTTCCTTTGTTTTTCCTTCCTGCTGTGATAGGAGCTATTTTGCTTCCACCACAATGCAGGGCCAACTACTCACAAAGTAAAAGTAATAAATCTGAGGCCAAATACATAATTTTTTTATAAACTTCTGACCTTAGTTATTTAGGATAATAGAAACCCAATGAACATATGTAAATACTATTAAATATTAGACACAGAAAAATTCTAACCAAACTGTAAGGAGAAGACACCCTATGTACCAAAATCATCTCTCAACTAACATGGGAAGTGCTCTGACCTTAAAAGGGGTTTAAGTCCCTACCATCCCTTGTTAGGAGAACAGCCACTTCCATATGAGTTGTCTTCTTATTACTCATTATAAAGATTCATGAGGATATATGTTTTAAAATAACATTATTTTTAAAACTATTATATTTATATCCATGTTATATTTACTTATATGTTTATTTATTTATTTATTTGTGCATGTACTTGAGTACACGCATGTCATGGTGTGTGTATGTAAGTCTGAGGACGACTTGTAGGAATCACTTATATCTTCTCTCACTGTGTTGGTGGTTTGAAGACTGAATTTAGGTTTTTGGCTTTGGAGGCAAATGCCTTTACCCTCAGGGCCATGTTACCAGCCCCAGAAGAAGTGTTTTATAGAACCTACTTGTTACACGTCAGACTCACTTTTAAGTCAGATTTAGTTATTTAGTGTATGTGAAAACCTGAGTGTGTATTCACCCCTCAGGGCTTGGGTGATTTCTAGACTGGTAAAGCACCATGTTTTGACTTGGCCATTTTTTCCTGACTCCTGTCACCGGTCTTTGTGTACACATTGTTGTCTTCTTTACACACTGTTGGATATGGTGATTTTCCAAGCTTGACCCCCTTGCGTTCTGCTCTTGACTGCTGCAGGTGTCATGGAATATGGCTTGTTATTTGGTAAAGTTTTATTTTGCTGGAACTACAGAGAAAAACTGCTCCACAAGCTATAGGCTTAATAATCTGCAGTTCCCTTGGTGTCACAGTGACTTATGTAAAAGGAACTTCCATTTCAAATGCAAAATCTATGACAACAGACACAAACAATACTTGACCTTGGGACCTTTCTGTGCTTTGGAATCCTAAAGAGAACAGGCTCTGTCTAGTGTTTCTGCAAGCCTGCTTAATTAATGGAAAAGTGAATTTCCTCTTAGCAACAGAAGTTTTGTTTTGTTCTTTACTTTTTATTGATTCGTTGTGATTTTCACATCATGCACCCTAGTCCTGTTCATCTCCGTGTCCCCTTGAAGACCTCCGCAGAGGGGAGACCCTCACTCAAGTCTCAGAAAGTCGTGACCATCCAGTAATCTGCTCGAGACACCATGTACCGGAGCAATTGCGAGGTTGTTTATTAGGGCGTGACAGCTAGCTGCCGGTCAATTCGTATGCCCACACAGGAGCTGAATTGACCCCGACAGCCAGTTTGAAAGGGGTTTTTAAAGGGAAAAACCACAAACCAAGAATGGGGAGGGGTGAGAGGTTGCTAGGGTGGTGTAACATGAAAATAGTGGAACATTCCAAAGGAACCCAACCTATGGGAGTCAGGGTCAGGTGAAAACTCTTTGTACGCTTATCTTTCTCAAGAATGTGGTCCTGCCCTGTTACTTCGGCCTTGCCCTGTCACTGCGGTTCCCAGCTTGGTTCTCTGTCGCGTCCACCCTCGACCAGCAAGGAAGACGCAACGCAGGAGCTA